AGAGGGGCAGCTGCGGGGGGCTGGAGAAGGGGCAGAGGGGCAGCTGCAGGGGGCTGCAGAAGGGGCAGCTGCATTAAGGAGCAGGAAGATCTTAGCCATGGTTTATTCATTGACTAAGCCAGAATCAAACAGCATGCTAAACTCTAAACCAGAATGGCTGGGTTGATATATTCAGCCCGTGTTTCTCAATCTTAGCAACTTGTGTGGACTTCAATTCCCACTCTGGCTTTGCTCTACTTTCTCAAAGTACCACCGCTGTCCCATTCTTTCTTTCTTTCTTTCTTTCTTTCTTTCTTTCTTTCTTTCTTTCTTTCTTTCTTTCTTTCTTTCTGTCTGTCTGTCTGTCTGTCTGTCTGTCTGTCTGTCTGTCTGTATATACATACATACATACATACATACATACATACATACATACAAAAGGTCTGCCTGTCTGTCTGCCTGCCTTTTTGTCTACCTACCTACCTATCTACCTACTTATCTATCTACCAATATAGATCTATCTATCTATCTATCTATCTATCTATCCATCCATCCATCCATCCATCCATCCATCCAAAATGTCTGTGTCTGCCTGCCTCCCTCCCTACCTACCAGCCTGCCTACCTGTCTTTCTGTCTACCTACCTACCTATCTACCAGTATAGATCTACCTACCTACTTATCTACCAATCTACTTACCTACCTACCTACCTATCCATACATTCATCCAAAAGGTCTGCCTGCCTGCCTGCCTGCCTATCTACCAATCTATCTACCTACCTGAGAGAGAGAGAGAGAGAGAGAAAGAGAGAGAGAGAGAAACCGACCTGATGCATCTGATTGAAATGAGGCCTAGTTTAGACTGAGGCCCTTTTCCACATTGAAACATCTTTGCCAGCACATTGAAACATCTTTGGCTTCTATTAAAGGTTTTGTGAACAAAACATGGTCAAGACTATCAGGAAGCTCTCACATTTTGTTGAGGCTTTAAACAGGATCCATTGGACCAGATCTCCACTCTAAAAATTACTTTTCCCCAATGTATTACAGTGCTAATTCTGAAGAAGGCAAAACCAAAATGTACTGGTAAATTACAAGGAGAACACACACACACACACACACACACACCCTTTTAACACTGCTGGAGCAGGTGATTGGACTAGAATAGATATTTCATTATCTTTCTCCTCCCTCCCTCCCTCCTTTATTTCTTTTTCTTTCTGTCCCTTCTTTCTATCCCCCCTCTTTCTTTGTCCCTTTTTCTTTCTTTCCCTTTTCTCTTTTTCTTCCTTCTCTCTCTCTCTCCCTCTTTTCTTTCTCTCTCTTAGGCTCACCCCATTGACTTGACTTGCTTGGGCAGGTCCCTCCAATGCAGTGGGCTCAATGGGGTGGACCTGTGGGGCCGGCACCTAGAATGCGGCAGTGTCGGCATGTTTGAAAAGTAGAGCAAAGCCAGAGGTCGGTAATTTTTGCTGCAAAGAATCACAAAAGCTTCTGGGTTGTGCACAATAAGGGACACACATGTCAATGCAATTCGGCAACATAAAATGAGACACATATAAAACAAATCAACAAGAATCGGCAAAGCATCTCTGCTTAGATTTTATTCACTGCTAGAATCTAATCAGAGATGCTTTGCCGATTCTAGTGCAATGACCTGCTCCAGCAGGGTTAACAGGGAGTGTGTGTGTGTGTGTGTGTGTATGTGTGCGCATGGCTGTCAAAACTCCAAAAACGGGTCAAGTATCTCTGGGGAGGCCAGTCATAAATTAGAACACTTGCTAAACAACCAGCCATTGAGTGAGGACCACTTGTATTTGGTTTGCCAGCCACCTGGCCATGCCCACCCAGTCACATGACCACCAAATCACACCTACCCCATCATGTGACCAGCAAGCCATGCCTAGCCAGCAAGCCACCCCAGCCAGTCACATGACCAGCAAGCCACACCCTCAAATTAGGCCACGCCCACAGAAATTTGCATCCCACCCTTGGGTAGGGGGCACCGAGGATGAGTTTGTAGCACTAAGGGGGCGGCGGACTGAAAAAGTTTGGGAACCACTGCTCTAGAACCTTTTTATTGCACAAGCAAAGAAAACACTAGCACTGCTTCCTTTGATTTTGCACAACTTGAAAAGATTACAGGTTTTTATTTTTCATTGCTATTGGGTCACCAGGAGTCTCTTGTTTTTGATATTAATGAACCTTTTTACATTTCTTTTTTTATCTGCCAGAGATCTTATAAGCTCCAGTCATAACCAATTTGCATACATTGTACATGTGATGTTGGCAAATTAAGTATCATTTGAATGCATTTGTTCCACTCAGATCTTGCTTTTTTGATGCTTAGTGTATTGCTTTACTTCAGCCAATGGAAGCTGAATCCAAATAAGATCGTCAAAAATGGCCGGTTATAGTTTGATTATGATTATGCAGCTCAAATATGCAGTACAGATAGAGATATACTGTACATAATAAAGCATAAAAAGTGTTATGGAAGCCACTGAGAAAAAGAGAATAGCACATTGACTTGGAACATTTGTGGATTTCTCTTTTGGCTGACGAGAATAAAAGCATGGAAGTAAAAAATTCAAACCATGCTCCCTAATATATACCATGAAATAATTTTCTCTTTAGTTTTAGTTCCATTTCATTTTTAGTGATCAATTAAGAGATAATAGGAGTAATAAAATTAATAAATGCCTACAAATAATAATAAATAATAATGAAAAAAATAAAAAATATCATTTCTATTGTGTGTATTATTTTTTTAAAAAATCATCAATCTCCACTGTCATTATTCTGCTTGATACACAAATAGCATATTTGGGGTAATAATAATTTATTAAAATTGTATGCTAGCTAATGAATAGTTCACAACAATCAACAATAAAATGCCGTAAAATCAATAAAGATAAAGATAATAAGCACAAGAAACTAGATGAAATTTAGCAAGGGATCTCACTCCTCCTTCTCAAAGGCCTTGGTAAAGGGTCAAGCCAAGGGTCTTCTTAGCTATTCTACACAACAGCAGAATGGGGCCATCCAGATCTCAGGAGGAACCTCATTTCCAATGGGTAGACAATGGGAATACAGAGAATGTATTCTTCCAACGGTCCTAATAAATTGTTGTTTTAATTGAAGGGACCCCAAATGCACCAACTCGAAGATTGAATCAGGTAGGTAGATATTACTATAGGAGATGGGTGGACCCCTCAAATAACCAGGTCCTATGCTGTGTAGCCCTTTATAGGTAACAACCAGATAAATAAATTAAATATTCTAATTTCTCTTTAGTTTTCAGTCTGCAAATTCTTTGGGCAAAAAGCAGACATACCTCTTTTTGATATACTGGCTTTCTTTGAAGTGGTGTAGTAGAGGTAACATTGTATAAATTCAGTCAGATTAGCCATTATGATGTAAAGAAAAAGTTGCTATGGGATCATTCATCATACATACAACCTCAATACTAGGCCATGCACATGAATTATATGTATTTCTTCTTCAGAGTATTTTGTTGGAAACTTCAGCTGATCCTGAATATATATTCTTTGGTAAGGGTAGTCTATTTTAAGCTTCTGCCAACCTTAACAGAGACTAGTATTTTAAATTAGTAAGACTACTTAAATGTGTTTCAGTATTCAGGCGTCCGATAATGTGGAATCTACATTATTGTATTGAGTATTGTAAAATGCAACAATTTTTCCATCTTTGAAGACACATAGAGATCATAAGAATAAAAAAATTCCCAACATCAACATTCATAAACGTATCTTGACTTTTTAATAATTATTTTTTGTCACTTTTTCAAATATATATGTCATTTGTACAGTCTGCAGCATTTATGTTTTGATTTTTTCTTTTCTTTTGTAGACAGAATTTTTTTCTAAATTCTACCTAATCTAGCAGTATCGGCCAAGGAGTGTATTAACTCCTTATAATATTTATAATATTCAGAATTTCATAAATAAATTTTATAATATATATGCTTTGTAGCTTTGTATGATACTTGTATAATATTAAAGTTTTCCTAATGCTCTAGTTTCCTTCCTACAGATATTTAGAGGCTTTGTTGAGGGAAAAGTAGCTTTTGCTCCAACATATAAATACGATTTATTTTCGGATGACTATGATACCAGTGAAAAATGTCGTACACCAGCTTGGACAGATCGGATACTGTGGAGAAGACGAAAATGGCCTTTTGACCGATCAGGTCAGATAATGAAATTTAATATTGCCAATACAAAGTAGTCTGATAAGATTTAGTTCTGTAAACATTCTGTAAAAAAATGAGAAGCATTAGAATTATAAAAAATAATTATATCTGATTCATGGATACTTTTGGTTTTTGGTTTGGTGTGTTTTGTGGAAAACAAACATTTTAATACTAGAAATGCATTAAATATATTCTAAAAGTTTCTTTCTAATAATACAGTATTATGGAAAAAGCTCTGAAGTGAAATTCCAATTCGCTGCTTGAAGTATTTTAATGTATATGCTTGTAGATTATATTTAGAATGTATGTTTCAGTACAAAACTGAAGTGAGAATTTCAGACTGATTTCCTTTTCCCTCTGTAGTCCTATAATCTGAGATCTCTAGAAAATATCACTTTTTCTTTTTAGCGGAAGACATGGACCTTTTGAACTCCAATTTTGACGATGAAAATAAACTTCTTTACACATGGAATCCAGGAAGTCTTCTATATTACGGACGGGCAGAATTAAAAACATCTGACCATAGGTTTGAACTTACCCTTTCATAATAGCTTCTCATCCTTTGAAAAACTTTTCCAATATGATCCATAGCTTTGGATTAATTTATGACTTTTATTTATATATTTTCAGGCCTGTTGTTGCATTGATTGATATAGATATTTTTGAAGTTGATGCAGAAGAGCGACACAATGTTTTCAAGGAAGTAATTGGAGTTCAGGGACCTCCTGATGGCACTATAATGATTTCCATTAAAGGATCATCATTAGAAGATAACTATTTTGATGATAATTTGATTGATGAACTTCTTCAAAAATTTGCAACTTATGGTGAAGTTATACTTATAAGGTTAGAACAAATTCAGTTGTAAATACTGCAACTTTTTCTTGAAATGTTCAAAATCTTTTGTTTAGAGTAAGCTACAATGATAAATCTTTATGTTGTCTACAATATTTTGGGAAGATTATGGTAGGACAAAAGGCAAAATTGTTCCAATTTTCAGAGAAGCTTCCCAACATAGACTTTTCTATAACACTATTGATAATGCAGTTACAGATAGTCTTCAACTTACAACAGTTCATTTAGTGACCATTCGAAGTTACAAAAAAGTGACATGACCATTTTACAACCTTCTGACAAGCAAAGTCAATGGGGAAGCCAGATTCATTTAACAACCATGTGACTAACTTAACATTTGCAGTGATTCACTTAACAACTGTGGCAAGAAAGATTATAAAATGGGACCAAATTCATTTCACAAATGTCTCACTTAGGAACATACACTTTGGGCTGAATTGTGGTCGAAAGTCAAGGACTACTTATAAATTTTCAGTAATAGACATATACAAATGGAAGGTATGCATTTTAGAGTTTCTTATATATATTCATTTGTTTCAGGCCTTTTTATACTGCCCATGCTTACAACAGAAAATACCTTTGTTTCTGTGCATTGCTTTTAAATATAAGGATACCTGGGATTGGATATTTATGAGAAGTGATATAGTATAATATTGTATGATAAGCATTGAAACAATCCAAATGGTATGGGAATAATAGACTGAACAATGTTGACACTTTTGCTTGGCAGTGTTTTACTATAACTTATCAAAGTTCGTAAATATTTTTTAACATATTTGGACAACATTTCCTATGCCAAAACATTTTGAAGCAATTTTATGGCTTAGTGTTGTATGTCAGCTAGGCTAAATGTTAAATATATAATATTGCCTTAAGAATTATGGCTATGTATTCAGGGTTCAGTTCCAAATTGGAATGGCAAGAGGATTCTCTTTAATATTTTTTAATAAACATTTTTATTACTTTGCAGTAAGTTTTGTAGGTATTTCTGCATCTACATTTTGTTTCAGGTATCATGTATCATGCTAGTCAGTTTGGCTAAAGTAGATATACTGAAAAAACAAACTACAGAGACAACATATAGATGAGTAGTATTCTTCAGTATGTTGTGTCATTCATGTTTAAATTTTGTTACACTTTACAGATTTGTAGAAGATAAAATGTGGGTGACATTTTTGGAAGGCAGCTCTGCTTTAAATGTTCTGGATCTGAATGGTATTGAGGTAACAATCATTTCTATTTCTATTTATACACCTATAAATAATACTGGTGTAAGCAGACTGTATGATATTGTGATTTATTTTAGTATTCTCTAATCATTAGGTATAGATATTTGATAAATCATTCTTGCATAATTTGTGAAATTTGGGACTTGATTTTGAGTGGACTGTACTTTAATGTACATATTTCTTCCTGAGTCAGTGGTATATTAGGACACATGGGAATGATGAAGCAACATGAAGTGGTTATTTCTAAAATTTTCTCTAATTGTTTCCACGTATGTTTGCATATATAACCATTGTGTTTTGCAGCTAGCAAATTATATCAACCTCAGCAAAATGAACAGTATAACGGTAGTCCTCAACTTACAACCTTTTGCTTACTGAATGTTTTAAGTTACAACGGCACTGAAAAAAGTAACTTAGGATCATTTTTCATACTTAGAACCATTCCAGCAGACCATCACATGATCAAAATTTGGACACTAACAATAAATGCTAAGCAAATATTTATAGATGAAGAACGGAGGACTTCGATAGTGAAGATAACAATGAATCATCAACAGATACTCCTGGTAGCAATTTATTCACCAAACAGTAAACAAGAGGACTTTTATAATAAACTACATAAGAAAATAGTAGAATTGGAGTACGAAAATATTTGTGTAGTGGGAAACTTCAGTGCAGTTGTAGATGCGGAACTAGATTTTAAAACCAGGAAAGTGAATAAAAAAGGAAAACATTACCAAAGTTATTTTTTTTAAATGGCTGAAGAACTAGGCATCCAAGATGCGTGGCAAGAGATACATCCTAAGGAAAATCAATACTCATTCTATTCAAATAGGCATATGTCTTAGTCAAGGATAGATACGATATGGATGTCAGCCAGATTGAAAGCCAATGAATATAGAAACAGGTAATTGGGCAGACCACAATCCAATAAAAGTTATATGGAAAGGACAAAAAAGAAAACTAAGATGGATGTTGAATCAATATCAAACGATAAGGAATTTATTCAATTCATGGAAAAATAATTAGACTTCTTCTTCAAAGAGAATAGAAAAGAAGAGGCCTCACTACAAAATGTATGGGATACAGCCAAGGCATAAAGGTTTAGTCATAACTTATATGGGAAAGAAAAACAGGAAGAAACAAAATCAAAAGACATTAGAAGAAAAATATAAGAGTTTAGAGACAGAACTACAAAAAGAATCACCAAAAAAGAGCTTAAAAAGTCAAATGGAATTAATAAAAAACAAGTTAAATATAATAGATAAAGAAGAATTAGCACAAAAAATTAGAAACGCTAAAGGCCGGGCGTCAGGTGTCCCGGTAATGATGATGAATTATGCAGAGACGGTTAGCTGTCAGGATTCCGGTAATTACCCCAATTAAATCATGAGTCTCGAGCCAAACTTCCAAAACTTCAAAAGAAGTTATTGGGAGTTAACATGCCCGGCACTGCCTGGGTGTAGCCGACTCTGCCTGGACACATAATTCATTGTCACCCTTGACCCTGGTTTTCCCCCACCCCCTGGGTGTATTATAATTCATATTCTCCAATGAGACACACTCATAGCCAGGAGTCATCAATCATGTTCTCCAGTTAGAATTGTGCACAGCAGAAACTTCAGTCACCTAGTTACTATTTTTGAAAACTATTTATGGAATGCACTTTCGATTTCCAAGCTACCACACTACTCTTTCAAACCCCTTCTCCCCCCCCCTCACTTTCTGTTGACAATTCTCAAAGACCATAGAAATATTTTATGAGTTGACAAATGTATTTGAAAATGCAAATAAACCAGGAAGATGGCTGACATACAAATTGAAAAAGAAGAAAGAAAAAAAACCTGGTACATCAATTAATGGATGAAGAAGGAAATCTTTATCGTCAAAATGAGGACAAAAAGAAAGTGATTCAAAATTATGGAAAATTATATGACCAAGAGATAGTCTCAGAAGACAAAATAAAACTATTTTTAAAAAGCAGAACTGAAATATCTGAAACAGTAAAAGCCATGTTAGATGAACATATAACAATGGAATTAATAGAAGCAATTAAGAGACAAAAAAATGGGAAAACACCAGGTCCAAATGGACTACCAGCAGAACTTTACAAAGGTTTGGGAAATATTTTAACTAAACCAATGTTGGAAGTGTTTAATGAAGTAAGAAGCAAAAGTACCAAACTCATGTACAGAAGCATATATTATGCTCATAACAAAGTAGGATTCAGACTTATAACAGCTAAAAAACTACAGGCCAATATCCTTATTGAATGCGGATTATAAAATATATGCTTCAATAATTGCAGAAAGACTTAAAATACTTTAAAATCAATTTGTACATCCAGACGAAAATGGATTTTTGCCTAAGAAACAAAATTAAAGACAATATGAGAATAATTTAAACACGTTGGAGTACTACAAAGCACATCCAGGGAAGCAAATGGCATTGATCTTCCTAGATGCGCAGAATGCATTTGACAATTTGAACTGGCAATTTATGTTAGCACAGTTGAAAGATACGGGGAGAGATTTATTAATATGATTAAGGCGATATAAGCAAACAGCAAAAGTGATGGTAAATGGAGACATGACAGAGAAGGTTGCTATTTAAGAAGGTACAAGACAAGGATGCTCCCTTGTCTTCCCTATTATTTATACTGACACTGGAGGTGCTAAATAGAAATATTAGACAAGATATAGAGATAAAAGGTTTGGAAATAAACAAAGAAAATTATAAGTTATAGGCATTTGCCTAAGCTAATAAAAAGATTAAGGAATATGGCAAAATGGCAGGATTGAAAATAAAGAGAAAATTAAGATATTAGTTAAAAATCTTACAGAAATGCAGAAAAAAGAATCAATGAAGAGAATAGATATTCAGATTACAAAGAAAGTACAATACTTAGGGATTAATTTAACGGCAAGATGTGTAACTATAAAGGAAGATAATTATTATAAATTGATGCAACAAATTAAAATAGATCTGGAGAAATGGGAAAATCTGCAACTATCACTGATTGATAGGAGTGTCGGTCTCCTGGTGGAGACTGACTCTGAGGGAGAGGAGGAACAGCCGACAGGGAGTGGAAATGTGGCTCCAGAGGTGGTGGAGGAGGCTGGGGAAGGGCAGAGACCGGCTGAGCAGTCAGAGGAGGACCCAGGCCCATCCCCTATCCATCCTAGGGCACGCAGGAAGGAGAGGATAAGGGAGAGACGTGGTCTCCTCGGGAGGAGAGGGCCTTGATCCTCTTCATGGGCTGCAGGTGTGAGAACAGCATAAGAGTTTGGACCTGCATACTGGCAAACACTGGAAATAAAGCGTGTTTTATTTTGGTCTGAAGTTATCTTGGTTGGTGTCCTTCCAACAGACTGTGCCTCCTTGAATTTGGTAAATACTTCTCTTGTTCTGTTGTGGAGATTTCGTCATTGTAGTTTGGTTTTTTATTTCACCTCTTATCTGCTCATTAAATTTGGACTGCATTGCTTTCTTTTGAAGAGTATTTTTGAGTATGTTTTATCTCCAACTGACTATTATTGCACAGTGGGGCCAAATTGGAGGCATTAAAGGACATTTATTTACGTTTTGGATTTTGTTATGTCTGTGTTATACTCTGGGTCATCACAGATAGCTACAATAAAAAAGAACATATTGCCAAGATTATTATACTTACTTCAAACAATTCCAACAGTTGCTAACAACTTCAATGATTCACTTAACAACTATGGTAGGAAAGGTTGTAAAATGGGGCAAAACTCACTTAAAAACTGTCTTACTTAGCAACAAAAATTTTAGGCTCAATTGTGGTTGTAAGTCAAGGACTACGTGTATTGTGTCATATAAAACTACTCCTTGTGAGGGATGTCATGACATAAACAAAAAGGGGCAGAATATCATCTGGGTCACAATATTGTTTGGTACACTTTTGCAGATGTTCCTATTTCTAGGTTAATTTTTCAAGTGATCATGTTTGTTCTTTTCTCTTTAATTACCGTATAAATAACTTTTTGTTTGGGGGGTTGTTTTGATTTGATTTTTAAAGAAATTATGTGAATTATTCTTTCTGGTTGAAATTCAGGTTCTTGGGAAAACTGCTAACATTTCTCTAAAAAACCCTTATTGGATTAAGAACTTAGAAGACGAAATTAGTTTGGAGAGAGTTAATGTTGGTCTGCCTTCATCAACAAGTTCTACTTTGCTTTGTGAAGATGCCGAAGTTACTGCAGACTATGATATGGAAGGTTTGCCAGATTCAAGATTGATTTTGTTCAGTGGATGCTATCTTACAGCAGTGTTACAAATATACAACACATCACAGTTGAATCTATTGAATTTTAGGATAAGAATAAAAACTTTTCTCATTTGTTCATACCACATAACTATACTTAGTTCATGAACGTCTATTAACAAAATCTTTTCTAAATTTACCTTATTGATTCTGTATGGGACCAAGTTAGCAATAACAATTTATATGAAATTATTACCTTTATTTGGCACATATTTACCAGAATGAGATGTTAGAGTGTACCTAAATTTCAAATAGAATACTGAAGAATATAAAATAGTTAAGCTCCTGTTTATCGTCAAGATGCCAGGGTTCCAATAATCTAATTAGCAATAAGTGTGCTAATATCTATATGGTTTCCACTGTGCTAGTGCTCCAAAAAACTTAAGAGACCTGGCCTCCAGGGCCTTGGATTAGGTTGATTGGGGTCCCTGTCAAATTGTATGAGGGTTAGCTTAGTTAGATCCATCACAAGTTCTTGTTTATTTTTATCTTTATATAACTGTTAATATTTATTTTATCAGTTTGGAGTTGAGAGGTACCTAAATGAGCAAATTAAAATTAATTATATTGCACTATATGACATTAAAATAAATGAAATCTGAGTGCATTCACATTTTAAACTTTGAGACTGTATATTAAAGTGTAATATTTCTGCATAATAGAAAAATTGTGGTACAATTTATAGGAATATTTTTTTTTCATTTCAAGGTGATGTTGACGATTATAGTACTGAAGTAGAAGAAATTCTCCCACAACATCTACAGCTAGCTTCAGGCTCTAGTCTTGGAGCCTCACCTGCCTCTTCCCCTCGTTCAAGCCCCTGCCAGTCCCCTACTCCATCAGAGGGTCTGCCTCCAACTCTTCCATCAAGGCCAAGCAGGACACCTAATAAGACTCCTGGACCTCCAGTGTCTTCTCAAGGTAGATATTAAACTTCTACTCTGTCACAATCAAAGACACTATCAATAACTATAGTGGATATAAAAAGTCTACACACCACTGTTAAAATGCCAGTTTTTGAGATGTAAAAAAAATCTGATCAAGATAAATAACATCAAAAAATTTCCTGCTTTAATATAATATAGAAGTTGTACAATTCAAACTGAATTCTTTTAGGGGGAAAATAAAATAAAAAATGTATAATAACACAGTTGCATAAGTGTGGACACCCTCTTATAAGAAGGATGTAACTGTGTTCAGAATTAATATATCACATACAAACTGTTGTTAAATAGTAGTCAATATGTACCTGCCATCAATTAAAATGACTCTGATCAAGCCCATATAAACTTCAGGTGTTCTAGTAGGATTTTCCTGACATTTACACAGTTGCATCTCACAGCAAAGTCATGGTCTTCAAATAGCTTATAAAACATCAAAGGGATCTCATTATTGGAAGGCATCAGTCAGGAGAAAGGTACCCCAAAAAATTTCAAGGCATTGGATATAGCATGGAACACAGTGAAGAAAGTCATCAACAAGTAAAGAAAATATGGCACGACAGTGACATTACCAAGAGCTGAATGTTCCTCCAAAATTGCTTAAAAAAAACAACAAGATGAAAATTGGTCCAAGAGGCTGCAAGAAACCTACAACATTAAAAGAGCTGTGGGAATTTCTGGGTAGTCCTGGTTGTGTACTACAAGTGACAATAATCTCCCATATTCTTCATTTGTCTGAGCTGTGGACTCGAATGGCAAGACGGAAGCCTTTTCTTACAAAGAAAACATATAAACCCAGTTACATTTTGCAAAACCTACATCAAGTCTGACAAAACCATGTAGGAAAACGTATTATGGTCTGATGAGACCAAGGTTGAACCTTTGGGCCATAATGCCAAAAATATCTTTGGCACAAAAACAATACTGTGCATCAGCAAAAGTACATCATAACCACAGTGAAAAGTGATAGCATTATGCTTTGGAACTGCTTTTCTTCAGCAAGAATTAGGGCTATAGTCAACAGTAAGAGAATTATGAACAGTTCCAAATATCAGTCAATTTTGGCACAAAATCTTCAGGTCTTTACTAAAATTCTGAAGATGAAGAGGAATTTCACCTTTCAACACGAGAGTGATCTAAAGCAAACTTTCAAATCAACAAAAGAATGACTTCACCAGAAAAAGATGACAATAGTACTTAGATTTATATACCACCTCACAGTGCTTCACAATCTTCTCTAAGCAGTTTACAGAGTCCAGTATATTGCCCCAAACAATCTGGGTCCTCATTTTACTGACCTCGGAAGGATGAAAGGCTGAGTCAACATTGAGCCGGTCAGAATTGATCTGCCAAACGGCAGGCAGCCAGCAATCAGCAGAAGTAGCCTGCAGTACTGCATTCTAACCCTGCTCCACTACGGCTCAAAGTTTTGGAGCCCAGGCCTGAATCCAATTGAAAATCTGTGGGATTACCTGAAGAGGGCTGTGCACAGGAAATTCCCTTGCATTCTGATTGCCCTTGCTTAGGGCAAGATGGCAAGATGTACCATGCTGTTAGGCTCCTACCTCGAAGACTGAATGCTGTCATAAAATCAAAAAGGTGTTTCAACAAATATTAGTTTGAGTGTGCACATTTATACAACCATGTTATTGTGCTTTTTTTTTTGTTTTGCCCTCTACAAGATTTCAGTTTGTTTTTCAATTGAATTGTATAGCTTATATGTTAAAATAAAGGTGAAAAAATTCTGAAGTTATCTAATTTTTTTACATCTCAAAACCGGGTATTTTAACATGGGTGTGTAGACTTTTCATATTCAATGTACATAAAGCCCGATACAAAAACATAAAAAACAAAATATGAAAGGAAAAGAAAAATACACAAAGCAACTAGGAAACAAGATGGCCTCAGGTATAAACATAAAAAAGACTCTCCCTTCAAAAGGAATTCTGTTTTCCAGAAAACCAGCAAGGAGGGAGCCAGCCTGATCTTTATTGAGGGACTCTTCCAAAGCACCTTAACATATTTACCTTTGTTAGTGCCAGTTTAGTTCTGTGATTAGGGTGTGCGTGTGCGTGCATGTGCACACATATACATATATTAGCCTCTTCTAGTTTCTGCTCTCCAAACATCTCAAAAATGTGAGGTTGTATTAAGTATAATCCTTGAACTGCTTTCAGTAATACACACACCAACATAGTGATAGCATTATTTGCTGTTTGAACTGTCCCTTTATATTATTTTTACGTTTACCAGCAGATTTTCAACCTATAACTCAACTAAAAGAGTCTACTCAAGGCTTGGAACCAAAACGCCCACCTCCACCTCGACCAGGAGTGCCTCCTGCTCGCCCTGCTCCACCACAAAGGCCGCCTCCTCCATCAGGTAACTGAATAAAACAGGAAAACAGTGGTCATAAGATTTTTCTGTTATTTTTAGATAACATATGTTTAATAAGTTTATTATCCATCACATTTAGATATGTTGAATCATAATTCAGCATAGTGCTTGAAATATGTAGTCTTCCAGCTATTGGTGTTCCATTCATAACTGATTATTGGATATGCTGGCTTGTGGTTATGATACTCATTAACAGCTAGAAGGCTACAGGTCTTTTGACTTTGGTTTGACATGGGAAAAACATTTTCCGGCTTTTATACCCTTCTACCCTTCTGATGCAGTTTCAGAAAGACTTTGGAATTGCTTCTGTTATTACTTAATGTTTTACCCATATCCTATCAATTCAGATGATATAGTGTTAACCATGCTTTATTTGAAACAGTTACAGCCATGGTTTCTATTGATTCAAATCCAATTATAATTAATATTCTCCACATTTCCCAGTGACTGACTCAGATTGGATCGCCACATTTTGTTCCATCCTAAATTCTCTTTGTAATCACATTATTATTTTAACATAATAGAAGTTTTAGCAAGACTTCTTAGCTTTCTGTAGGATAGCTGCTTTGGATTATGTATATACAGGAGTGCTCTATTATAATTATTGTCACTTCATAATATGAACCTGAAGCTCTTATATAATGTGTGATAATAAATTTGTTTACTATGATTCTTAATTTCTTTCTAATCCTTTTTTTCAATTAATACTTCTTTTTACTGCTGCCTTTATCTCTTACTCCAAAGGGAGTAAGAGTCCTGCACTTGCTAGAAAAGAACTTGGAGGTAATGATTATTTAAATATGGCTTAACAGATGCAGATGTTTTGTTTATTTATTTAGTGAATTTAGTGCTGATTTTAGTTGGCTGGATAGCTCACAAAGTAAAGAATAACATAAAATCAATCAATAAATAAGGATACAATAAAACTAATCCAAAAAAGTTTCACAAAATGGTTGCAAAAGAGCCAACTTTTTACAGCTATTTACAGCTTTCCAGAAGGTTAAAACAGAGACTTAAAGAGGAAGGGTGTTCTAGAGGACGGGCCATCATAAAAGGGGCATGCTTTCTAGGTCTCACCAGATAGCAACATTAAAGGGAAGGGCGTGGAGTATGCCTGCTTTATCTGATCTGGCTAATTGAAATATCGAAGTACCAACAACCTCAGAGATTCTACTGCCAGTCAGGCAATGGAATCCAACAGCTCAGACAAGGATGATTCTAAGCACCATGAGGGACAGTACAAGAAACAATCCCAACTGTTCCCTAGTGCCCAATTTTAATCAGAGAACCTCAAATCTGCAAAACAGAGATAACCTGCCTCTCCACCCACCTCCATTAGAATCTCAGCTGATGTATTACCATAAACCGAAACCCAGCTGGCATAATTCTGATAGAGGGATACCCTATTTCAGGCCCACCCAGAATTTGGTTAGACGTGAGCTTGGCGCTCTCATGTATTATAAGATTACTGATGAAGGTAGACTTATTACTAACCAATCTGACATTCAAAACAACAGCAGAGCTCAGGGTTCTGATACCCAGGGTTTGAAATGTGTTGCTAAAGTTTGAATGTGTTGCTATCAGACAGCAAGACCACTTGCAAACTCTGGATCCTGTATTCCTATCACCATCCTGATGTTCCTGCCTACACATACACACATGCATAATCAACACTACAACCTATCCCACCTCTCAAGGGTCCCAACTACTCTTGTCCACACTTGCCTAAGTACTTAGTGGCCTCAGACAGTTGAGCCCTTCTAGGGCAAAGAACACACATTTGTTACCCCTAGTAGTGGGGATGACCATTCCCTCCCAAAGGCTATGGCAGCAGTAAATTGCAGATGTTTGCAGCTATTTGTGTTATCTAAGTCAGGGGTCCCCAACCACTGGGCCGCGGACCAGTGGAACATTTCCTACCGGGCCGCCGGTTTGCTGGGCGCCGCCATCTTGTTGGACGAGAAAGTGCTTCCGGGTGAGCTTTTCCGGTTGGAAAGCGGCGTTTGGGTCCTCACGCCTTAGTTTCATTGAATGGGGGGCTTCGAACAAAACTAAGGTGCGAGGATTCTTTCAGCACCCAAGGCAAGGCGAGCCGAGCGATCATCCCGAAGCCGTCCCGAAGCAAAGCCCATTGACAAAAGGTACAAAGGAGGAGTTGAAGGTGGCGGGGAGAAGCGGGGGACGGCTGGCTGGCCGGTTGCTTGGCTCGCCTTGCCTTGTCATGCATGCTGATGCCGGTACCGGGCCGTGGATCATTTTGTGATGCCGGTACCGGGCCGCAGCACAAAAAAGGTTGGGGGCCACTGATCTAAGTGATATGTCAGTTTTTATTTTTCTTACTAAACATTGCAATAATATACAATGCAAATATTGTATTAAAACATTTATTAATCATTTTACTAAAAAAGAATTGCAGTTCTCTTTATTTTTGCCCTTTTCTTAATAAAGTATGCTGCTTACATGTTATATAGTACTTTTCTGCTTTCCTCTGATAAGGTTTTGGTGCTCCTCCCAGCCCTGTTGTAGCTAGGAGAGAAGAAGGTAACTCTTATTCTTAATGTCACACTGAATGTTTAAACTAAATATGTAAATATTTAATCTCTAAATTTCATATATGAAGTGAACATTTAAACTTCTCTTTATATTTCATAAATTTAATGTTAATTTTTGAAATATTCTTACCAAATGGAATCATGTTGCTAGTTATTTAGAGATTTTTGTAACTGAGCAGCTTATCCATTTCAATAATAATTCATTGTTAATATTCTTATCTGTACCCTTAACAAGCTAGTTAATGAGGAAATGGTTTGACAGTAGACAAAAATTCTTGCTTGATAAATCATTCTGTAAATGATATGAATTACAAAGGTGAAATTTAATGCTTTTTATAAAGTATCCCAGATCCCTAAATAGGACCATATATTTGTGGGTATGCTGATCCAGTTTCAAATACTAATAAAGGATATAGATGCTATGTCAATATCTGATTATTAGAACAAAGTTAGAACAAAGTTATAAAGATTACAGTATACAGTTGTAATTTTCTAGTACTGCAAGAATCATTAGTATTCAGTGTGTAGTTTCAGTAACTAATATGCACAACAAATTTGGAGGTGGGACATCCTTTCATATCTGAAAGCTCAGAAAACCCCTACTTCACAAAGATAATAGATGCTATAAATCAATATTAGTTATTTACTAATTATAGAGAATCTGAATTTAGAAATATATTCTAATTACGCATCCCCTTTCTTTAGCTTATAATCAGTCTCTGCCTCCCACTGGACAAATAAACACAGGAACATCTGGACCCAGTACATGTAGACCGGTAAGGATATATATTTTCTGGTAAAACTAAGAATAGAATAACATTTAGTTGTGTAACATTTTTTAAAAATATTTTCTAGTGATACTAGCCAGAAGATCCCTGGTGTGTATTTTAATGAAGAACTTAAATATTCTAAGTTTTCAGTTTGATTCCATATAGCTAAATCTCAGGATATCACTATAATCATTACCATGTATAAAGGTGTGACTAATTTTAATATTAAAAGCTGCATATTACCAAAAGAAATCCCGAGTCTATTATCTCAATCATTTTTCTTGTTGCATGGCTCATGTCCATCCTCAGATATGGGCTGGGGTTGAAAAATGCATGCAGTGAAAGTCTATAGAAGGGTGAAGACCTAGCTCCCTGTCATCGATCATTTCACCATTTTATAAATATAAACATATGTACCCTCACATAGGATATGTCAACAACAAACATGGTTGTATTTCTGACATGAGTTAGTTCCTAATTAGTGAATTAACTGGATACATTTAAGCTTATATCTCAGCAAACTAAGATGGACTGGAACTGGACACCTTCAGTCCGAAAATCAAATTGTTTACTCCCCAAATTGTTTACTACATGGAAAACAAAGAAGGAATGGTATTGCTTTCATGATTAGGCAGGATAGAGCAAGAACATTACTAGACTACCATGCAGTCCATGACTGAATGGTATCAATTAGACTTTATTGATAATCCTTTGATTATCCAACTTTATGTTTTAATCTCTGATGCTGAAGAAGAGGTTGAGGAGTTCAATTTAAAATTGACAAAACGTGTAAGCAAGATGTGCTGCTTTGGAATACCAAAGTTGGAAATATTAGTGGGGGGGAATATAATTGGGTTGTATGGCCTGGGACAGAGGTTCTTAAAATGGGGAAATTAAAACAACAATCAAAATATCATAAGAACTCCTCCAGCAAGAATTTGCTAAATTGCTGGTATTCTGTTCTCTTTACATTTTTATATTTGTCCTTTTTGTTCCTCAGTTTGTCAGAGAGCTCTTTGTACAACCATGCCAAGCTCCTTAGATGTCTTGTTTTTCTTCTCTGTAGTATTGTTTCTGTTTGGGTCTTTTTTATTTCATTTCTCAGAATTTCCCAAGCATCCTGAACTGTTTTTCCCTCCAGAATTTCTATCCATGGAATTCTCCCTGTTCATCCTCCTAGTTTGTTGAAGTTAGCTCTCTTAAAATCTAGAACATGAGTCTGACTTTGTTCAATTATCCTTGCCTGCATTATGGTGAATGCTAGCATGACATGGTCATCTCCATTCCCTCAGTCATTTCATCCCTATTAGTAAGTATGAAGTCCAGCGTAGCTGATCCTGTAGTTCTCCCCCCCATCTTTTGGATGATAAAGTTCTCAACTATGTATGTTAGGTACCTATTCCATCTGCCACTTGCTGCAAAGTTGTTTCCCGGTTGATGTCAGGGTAAAATCCCCCATTGCTGCAGCAGTGTGTTTCCTGCACACTTCAGCTTACTTACTTCCAAAAGGTGCCTCTATTTCCTCTGCTTGATTGGGTGGCCTTGGTTGGATATACACCTATACTGCTGTTACTTTTCCCCCCTGTAGTATTCACCCAAATACTTTCAAGAAGACCTTCATCCTTAGTGTTGTATATTTCTGTAGAAGTGTAGTATTCTTTACACACAGTGCAACTCCTTTTTTGTTGCATCTGTTTGTTTTGAACAAATTATTTTTTTCTAGCAGTATGTTGTAATCGTAGCTTCCATCACACCAATTTTCAGTAATAGCAACAATATTGTACCTGCCCTCATGCTCTAAGACTTCAGGTTCTCCCTGTTTGTACCCTATATTTTTATTATTAGTGTACAGCCCTTTATGGATGACCTTGCATTTGCTAGCTGCATCTCCTATTTTGCAATAGGAGTGTAATTTTCTCATCCCCACTTCCTTCCTTATTGTCAGATTTGTTGTCTTGGTATTTATACTTTGGGTTTGGTCCTAGAAATTGGCCTCCAGATTCAGTTTAAAGCCTTTCAGATGACTCAAGCAAGATGTATTTAAGCCCATACTTCCCAGTCTTTGTGAGGTGCACCCTGTCTCTTGCCTGGACCCCTACCTATAAGTAGATAAACTATAGTCCAGGCAGCACTATTCTTTGAGCCAGTGGTTTACCTCTGAAATCCTCCATTCTCTCATTGGATATTGACATCACCTGTGCTCCTCTTTTGCCTTCCTACCTCCCTTGATTTTTTTTTCTAGGCTCTTTTTTGTTGTATCATTCATCCCAACGTGAACGAGGAGAAAGGAATAATAATCAATGAATTCAATTAGTTGGGTAAGCCTCTGTCACGTCTTTGATCTTTGTACCTGGGAGGCAGTTTGATAGGTTATCTGGTCTGCAGATTGCTGATTCTGTTTCTCTGAGAAGTCACCAACACATGCCTTTTCCTCTTCTGGATACCTAGCAGACTCTTCTCTGTGACAGGCTGGGCTACTTTTCTTCCTGTTACTGTAACAGTCGATGAAGATTCTTCTCCAGATATCTGCATGCTTCTTCCAGAGGGAGGGTAAGAAAGTGAATGTTAAACTCCAGTGGCAAGCATAGTCCCTTCAGGTGTTTTGTCTTCTGAGTGACATGCTGCCTCCTTTCTCTTCTAAGGCTCCATTTTTCTTAGTAGTTGTTTCTTCCTTGGTATGTTCAGTTTGTAGACAAATTTTCGAGAATTTCTCATTTCCACAGATAAATCTCAGAGTGGTTAGATGTTTGTAGACTCTCCATTTTCTCCTGCAGTAATCTGATCAGTTTGCATTCGATACAGGTATACATTGGAGTCCTCCTCGGGCAGGAATACATACATCGCACACACCTTGCAGGTTACCATAGGCTAGCTCTTTCTCCTTGGCTTTATTACTTTTAAGGGTTGTACAGATCAATAGATACTCCTTTGTAGATGTCCAAGATCAATATATGTGCTTATTTTTACATTGAAGAATGTAAAACTTTTATTAATTGCTAGGATGTCAAGAAATAGGTGAAGCAGCCTTCTCTAACTTGACAGCCTCCACATGAATGGGACATCTAAAAACCATCTGGAAGACAACAGAACTGAAGCCCAATGATTCTGCAGGACCCTAGCCTAGGGACAACTGGCTTAAGTTGCCAGCCTACTTTGAAACAAACCAATTCCAATTATAGTAGTGCTTAAAAGTCTATACTTCCATTTCAGATTGTTCCTCCCCGAGCTGGAGTTATTAGTGTGCCACAAAGTCATGTGCGTCCTTCTATAGGAAAGCATATGCCTGAACTCCACCCTAAGCCACCAGAATTAACAACAGGTAAAATTGGTGAGTATATTAATGCATTTTTCTTTTTTAATGTAATTCTTCTACACAAAGGAGTGTTATAAGTGCATTCAAGAGAATATAGATGCTATCCCTTGGATGAAACATAATTCCTAAATACCCACTTTTGATTTTTAAAGTAAGTGAGTACTTAGGTCAACTATAAGGCAAGATTCTCTGTGACTTGGGCCACCATATAAATTTTATTAATAAATAATATAAAGATTGCAAAGCATGTTCTGCTTTTCTTGTCTATAAAAAAGAATTGCTTTTAAGTGCTTTTAATAAATGAACAGTGCTTTTAATAAATGAACAGTCTTAACAGTGATTTGGAAAAAGAAATTCCCAATTATTTTTAATGCATTCAAATCTAAAATAACTACTGCATTATGTGAAACAATTCTAGAATGCAGGATTTGTGGTGTAGCTTTTTTTGAATAGTGGTATATCTATATAACATCTAAGAAATATGGGAAATTCATAGGTCATTGTATTTCCAACTCAGTCTCCTTTAAATATCACTAGTTTTTCAAAATTTCAAAATATTTATAAAAAGCAATTTAACATTTACTTTTTCAGTGCAAACAAGTAAAAGTCCATTCTAATACGAATGTAACAAAACATTGAGATAACTGTAGGTAAAACCAGTACCTATTATTAATGTTCAGCTTCTTTGTATTTGGGGGTTTCAAGGAAAATGCACTGTGGCTGATCCAAACTGATTACAGTAGTAATGCAAATTATGAAACAATTGGAGCTATTTATAATGCATATGTACAGTGTTAAATAAGATTTCAACTTCTCTTTAGTAGAGCTTCACACTATTTAAATCAAGTTTTGAGACAGAATGGCATACAACTGCTAGAAAGTATCTTTCTCCTGTATTGCAAAGAAATTGTCTGTTAAAGTGCAACCTAGATATCAGTTGCACACTGTAGTGAGTGTGCAATTGAATTATAGAGTTAAGAAGGCTAAGAAAAGTGTGCATTTATTTATTTATTTTTAAGGTTCTATTTTCTTCTAAAATATTGCTCAGGGAATAGCAATTTCTTGTTCTTAGGTTGATCAAGTGTATCTGTCTCACTAACCAGTAGATTAAAAAAAACATTATGGTCTTTTTGCAAGTCAACCAGTTGTTCAGACTGGATTTGGCATTACTGCTATTATCACTATCATTATTAAAATCATTTTTGGTATTGAAACTAGGAAAATAATTGAATGTATTTATAGGGTCACCTTTACTTCCTGAACCACTTAAACCACAAGGAACAGTTCCTATTCAACCCACTTCTGTTGTAAAGATGCAGGAGCCACTTATACCTACGACAGCAACGTCTCAAACAGCTTCTCCATCAAACCTGGAGGCACCACCACAGCCTCCCCCCCGCAGCAAATCATCCCAAAGTTTGCCTTCTGACAACATTCCATCACAGAAGCAAGTATGTACAGAATATTTTTTAAACATTTTCTTTCGGGTGCAATTTATCTACTGCTACTTCTGTACTGCTCCACTCAAAAATATTTAGTGTAGAAAGCTGAACAACTCGTAAATTGCCGATGTAGTCTTAAATTATTCAAGTCCAAATTAAGGCTGAACTGTTCTATCGCTTCCTAATCTCTGTCACTAGGAAGCATAGGCATAATTCAAGTGAGGGGATTAACAAATTATGTTTAGAATTATCTTGGATTCAATACATTGGACATTAGTTAGGTTTATCTTCATCATACTCAAAATCTGTGCCAGAATTTTATTTCCTGGAGAGGTTTTGTTTTGTTCCCTGAACAGTTTGCAGAAAAATATTTTAACTTCCAAAAGGCAGAAAATGCGAATATTAAAATTAATACAGAATAAAATTTGCAACAACAGAATACCAAAATAAAGAGGAAAAAACTAATTAAGACTTAAAAATGTAGACAAATAAATTCAATTTCAATTTATTACAGTGAAAGATCAGCCAGATGGAAAAATAGTTTTTCGTCTGCTATAAGAAAGTAATCCCAAATCTGAAAATTGTATGTCCCATTTACCTTTGCTTTTTTAAAAGTAAAATAACTTTCAAAAATGTAGCTTATAACTTAAAATCTATTTTTAAGAAACTCTTAATTTGATAGATTTTAACCTGTCCTAATGTTGATGTATGTTAGCAATTGTACATGCAGTATACTATTGTGATCTATGAAGCAAATGAGGAAATTAATACCTTTATTAAATAGAACAGTAGAAAAATTGTGAAGATTTAGAATTTCCATAATTTGGCAATTCCATAATGTACAATATAATCGGTATTTGATCTAAGTGACTTTTGCCCTTTATCCAATTATATTTCAAGAGAATTCATCCCTCATCCAAATCCTGCCCATCTTTTCATTGGAATATAAAAAAGTTTGACCAAGGGCAGGAATATACCCATTTTTGTTCAGAAAAAGCCATAAAAATCCCCATATCCATACCAAAAAAATCCACTTCTTGCAACTAGCAGTCTTTGTAAACCAGGGCCACAGAGAAATGTGGTTTGTTCTGAGGTACTCAGGTTAGTGCAGGAAAAAGATGTCTGCATGTACCAAGTTGTACCTGATTTATAGTTCCCCTTAATGTGGCCAATGTAATAGAGTCTCTTAGAAGCATGTTACCTTGGATTTCTTTCTAATGTTTTCTTTTGATATCTGTCTCCTTTTCACAAGCAGGATCAACCTTCAGGGTAAAAGGTACCTGATTCTTTACTGGTCTTACATTTTTTTCATCCATTCTATTTTCTCCATAAGTTCTAGCATAAAAGATGTATGAACGGCTGTGTTCATACATCTGTGCTCGCACTGAAATCATCTGCCTGTATGAATACACAAATATCCATCATGCTATTGACATATAAGGCAACTTACTTAACTTGACATGCTATGCCCTATAGGGCAAGAGTTTTCAAATTGTGTTATGTGTGTTTCAATATACCCATTTGTACTAATTATTCTTTGAAAGTGGAGAGAATGGAAGTAGTATGTCAGCATACTAGAGAGCCTTAACATTTATCAAAAATTGCCTTATTTTTGTCCCTGACACATTAATTGACAAGAGAGAGGGGGATGTACAGCTTCTTGCTATTGCCATGGTAAAAAGGAGAACAATTTAGCAGCTTATTTAATAAAATGAAAAGTCTTGAAGTCTTATTTACAATTCTTCAGGTGGACCTTACTCACATTTTGAGAACTCTTGCAACTGAGGGTGCTTGATTCTCTCGCTGTCTGAAACTATTTAACACTGATCAACACAAGTAGCCTGAGACAACATTACAGAATGAGAAATATTGGTTTTAATTTTTTTCAAATTTTCTTTTTGGTTGTCAACCTTCTCTTATCATATACTTTAAAAAAGTTACTTTTAACATATAATCTATCTAGTTTAATTTTAAAATGAAGTTAATCTTATATATTTTTTAAAAAACAAATGTTTCTTTGCATCTGAGATCAATGCAATAAGCATAATTTAAAATGTAATAATCTACTATTTTTGGTTTTGGTAATAACCTAGTCCATAAACAGAATATGTTAATTGCTGCTAAACTGTTTTATTTCTGTTTATTCTGCAGTTGAGTTTCAGTGTTATATATTGATCATTGGTTTTTAAGTATAGTGAATTTTCAAGTCAAGATTTGCTAAATGTAATCTCAATATTAGAGTGTAATATTTCAAGTCTTAACCTTTGATGGTTTTACATTGTGTCCAATTATTATACTTACTGTTTAGTTTTACATAATAGATTTTTAATATTAAAAGGAACATGCAGAATGTGTCTAAAAGATTAAAACAACTTATCTTTAAGCTTAAATTCATTTCCTGTACTTGAGCAGGGCACCTTACGTTCCCTGTGCTGGGATGGTGAGCTTGGCCATTGGCTTGAGTCACCTTAAGGCAATTGTCTGAGCTCACTTAAGACAGGCATTGTATGAGTAAAATGTTGGGTAGGACTGGGAGCTTGTGTATGATTTCCTTTCTCACTGAGCTTTAATTCTGTTGAAATTCATGGGACATATTTCTAATAGATAAATGATAGAGAAAATATTTTCTCTTTTGGCCTGTTTATCAAGTATGAATGGAACTTTCCCATTATTCTTTTCAAATTAACATAACCTATACTTAAAAATGAGAAGGCTTGAGACTTAATTACTAAGATTTCATTATGAAAAATATTTTATATTAACTTTTTTCTGCACATGAATTTTTATTAGTTTAATGTTTCAATTCTTTATACCATGCAGTGCTTTTAATCCAAACATTATGTTGTAATCTTAAAACTTACTGTAATTTTTCTTTCATACTGTAAGTATATAGTATGGCTGTGTATATAGTAGATCCACTTGTGTATATATTCTGACAGGGATAATGCAGTGAAAATAATGTAAAAAAAAGTTGTATAGAAAGAAACTTAGGAATATTTTTCAAGTATAAAGCAAATTACAAAAGGCAGATGTTCAAATCCACTGCTTCTTTCATGGTCAATGGATCTTTTATCAGACAAGTCATATATTGAACGTTATATTTATTTTTCAGATTAGAACAAATGGAATTCACGCTGTTCAGCTTGAAACACAACTAAACAATGATCCTTTTGAAGATCTGTCCTTTCAATTATTTTCTGAATCTAAAATTCAGTCAGTTCAAATGTCACCGATTGTATCTTTAAGTCAAAAGAAGCTGACAAACCTGCCTTCTGCAACAGACAATTTTAATTTCAGGAACATAGGTACTCCACATACACTAGCACACAGTAAATCTGAGGTATACATGTCCAATTCTCTGAATCCATTTGCTACCAGCACAAATCTTTTTAATGAAAAAAATATTACGACTGGAAATCCATTTAGAACCGCATCTCAAGAATTTGGAGCAACTTCACATTGTTCAGCAGAAGGACCCACTTCTAATCCTTTTCCATCTCTAAAGCCTCTTATTCATCAGAAAGGCAAAGCTACATTTTATGTTGACACATTTGAAGATGATTTCAGTTTGCAGAATACATCTTCTATATCTAACAATGGAAAACAAAAAGGTTGGGTAACATTTGAAGAGGACGATTTAGTATTAACCCTGAAACCATTAGCCAATCCCACTGATTTAAAAAGAGCTTCTTCCCTGCAAGCAACTTCTTTTTCACTGGGCACTGAACAAAATATCACTGACTCAGACTTTACTGTTTACAGTGGTCATAGCAAAAGTTCTGGACCTTTTCATCTATTGCCAGCAAGACCCCCTCCTGCACCCCCTATACCATCCAGATCTACCAACAGCAACTCGACCACAGATCCTTTAATTTGTTTAGCACCTAAAACATTACCGACACAAGATTTTATGGAAAGATAAATTATTTAAGATATAATTATTTAAACTGGGTAGAAAGTATTAGTTAAAAATTATCTAATAGAACTGGGCATTGATTTAATTTTGTATGTGCAATACTTTAATCAGGTGCACTGAACATTAATTCTTAGGTCACTACACAAAGGTGGCAGGGTGGGGAATCATGCACAGAATTAATCCAAGTAGTGATCTTATTCTGTTCCTTTAATGGACACAATGCAAGGAAAAGTTACACTTGTTTCAATCCCACTTTAGTTCATAGGAAAGTATAACATTAAGTTTGTCTTTCAAGACCAACAAGCATGCATTGGTTTCTCTGAATATCACACATAAGAGTTTTAAACAATTGTTTCTTGAACATTCTTATATAAGAATTTAAATACCATTTTAAATGCCCTTCTGTTAGAACTAGAACCACTTCCAGTATCTGATAACTGGTATATTTATACGTAAGTATTCACCAAAGAACTGTCAAAATTTAAGATGCCAATTGTGTAATATTAATGTCAGGAAATAAATAATAGAGGTTTATGAAGATTTGTAGAAGTTAATTCCCTCAACAATTGAAATAATTTTAAACAATATATAGTAATATATTTTTCCTATTATTGCACATGCTTTGTTTTGCAGACATGAGAAAATTTTTTGCAGTTTATTGTTATTCTCCTCCTGACCTTATTCTCATTATATAGCTTCCTATTCCAGTATGAATGTTGCTTTCTAAGTTGAAGGAAAATTTATATTCATTTTGATAGGAAGATCTGTGTAAAGAAGTAATTGGATAGATGGTCCATATATTTCAACTTTTCCAGCTTTTTCCTTTACAATATATAGAAGTAATGTGTCTCAAATATGGTATGAATGAACAAAAAAATGGTTTATGTACTATTCTGACAAGTTAAATATATCACTTTCCACAGACATACATCAACATTATAGGTGATGCCATACTCCCATACATAATGCTTTGTAAACTCGCAATTGTCTGCCTCCAAATTTTTTGCAACAGATGGCACTTAAATGTCGTATTTTCATGTCATGAAGGAAATATATGTCTGTTCTATACTACTGTTAAGCAAGATAGTCTTTTCTTAATCATATTGTCACATCTATTTATATTGCTTGTTTTTTTTAAATTTATGAAAATCTTTTTTGAGAAGGGCCATGCTAAATATGTCTGTTCCTTTTGCTGTATTTGCAGACTGTTATAGTATGCTCTGTTTACAAAATATTTTCCTTCTGTGGTATCTGAGTGCAGCACCTCATTCCATGGAGCAGTAAAAATAAACCATCATTTCAATTTCTCTAATACTGTTCCAATGTATTTATATAAATCATCTCATATAACACTTCTACTCATTAAAGTACAGTTATTAAATACAGTAACTTCTATATTGTGCTTTTAAAATTGTACATTTTAAAACAGCAGAAGAACTATAATTTTCTGGTTCCATAATGTATTAACATGTGTTCTACATTGGTATTATAATGTTAGCAACACAACTGTATTCTCAATAGTGCAATTAGAGTTCTTTTATATGTGGTCCTTGTTTGAATATTTAATTAATTTCAATTACTATAGTTCTATTAAATTTCAAATATAGGCCTCAGCATCTTCAATGGATTATAAAATCTGGCAGCAAAGTACCACAAAAATTGCAACAAAGCATGTATGAGCAAAGGATGAGTAGTTTATTATAATGTGTACTGTTAAAGGAAATCAATATTAGAGAGTCAAAATTACAACAGTCTAAAATCCTATCTATTTTCCTTGAAGTGTTTTCCTGTGCAAATTGCTTTGTTAATGTATAAGTTATTGCTTGTAGTACACAATAATTATCTCCATTACAATATTAATATTGATGGTTTACAATACTGCATATACATATACTGTGAAACATGTTACTTTATGAAATAAATTTTCCCATTGTTAGGAATATATCTCCATTATTGATGCTGTCAAAATTTGGCTTTACCCTTGTGGACTTAAAATTTTCAGCTGTCTTTCTGATCTAAGATCATCAGAGGTAATCTTTATATAAAGGCCTGGGACATCAGGAGCCAACAAACTTTGTGAAGCAATAAGATTGATGAAAACTTTTGCAGAATATTTATCTGGTCTGACCGTTCTGCTTGGTTCTTACTTCCATCTCAATTCTGCCTCAGTTTCTATGCCCTAACAGTTGTAACCTGGAAAAAAGGAAAAGACATGGAATGTCTGCAATAATCTTTTTGTGATGATCCTCATTCTACTGTTGGTTCTTGAGCCATCTAGGGCCTTAGATTGAAATGGGGCTATATAGTTTTGCTTAATTACAACTGGAAATTGCCATCAAAGTGGTGTCAACTCTTAACTAGCCACATGGATTTTCTCCAAGACAATCTGTTCCCTTCATGATCCCTCAAGTCTCCCTCAAGTAGTGTATACATTACTACTGTAATTTAGTCCATACAGCCTGCTACCAATTGTCCTCTTTTTCTCCATCCTAATATCTTTCCTAGCATTATGGACTTCTCAAGAGAGCTGGGCCTTTGCATAATGGGTCCAGATCGGTGTTTTTGCAGCTTCCAGTTTTCTTGACCTGCATGGCAATATTGTCAACTAGTCACTTAAAAGGTTTTAATACACCCATATTGTAAACAACATGAGATCCTCAGCTGTTCCTCAATAAGGTGTTATGTCCATGTGACCTGAGGAGCCCATCACTACATTGCCAATCGCTTTACAGCACCTTTCCATGTGGTAAAATACAGGAATAATATACCATCACCTTCCCCTGCATAGTATGAAAGGATGCCTTTATTGCCGCCACTAAAGTGATCATCCATTTATAGCATCTTTATTGTGAAAATATAATTGTCACTTGCTTTTGCTTTGGAGTTGGGATTACTTCTATGCCTTACGTGACAGTACATCCCCCAACAATCTTCCCTCATCCCTCCCAGAAATGTCTTCCCCTGCCATGAAGCAACACAGCAGGACCTAGGGAAGAGGAAAGCTCTTACTACCACAATTTAATGCAGTAGGGCAAAAATGACAAGGTAGCCATGTTGGCTATAAAAAACACCGATAGCAAGAAAAATACCTTTAAAAATATCTGTAGGCAAACAAAGCTACAAAGTAGTACAACCTAGACTTCCAAGTCATGCAAAATGGCAAGTAATATAAAACAGTGAGGTATTACACTGCATTTCACTGTCCTCCAGGGTAAGCTCTGCCCCCAACATCCTATCCTTCAGTAAGAGCCTAAAGACCTGGCCCTGCAAATTGGCCTTCCTAATGTGGATGTTCTACTCTGGAGGTGGTTTGCTAGACTGACAGCAGACTCTCCCTCCTTTCTCTGCTCCCCACAAGCCCATCTGGTGGTGTTTCTTACAAAGGCAAGACAAGAAACAATGGAAACAAATCAAGGTGAGAAGCAACCTGAAATTAAGGAGAAACTTCCCAACAGTGAGGACAAATGCAACAGCTTGCCTTCAAAAGTTATAGGTGTTTCATCACTGGAGGTTTTTAAGAGACTGAACAGTCACTTGTCTGAAATGATATAGATCTGCTTGAGCAGGGGGTTGGACTAGAAGACCTCCAAGGTCCCTTCCAGCTCTATTCTGATTGATTGAGATGTACCAATAAAGGAGAATATGTGTAGCTCGGGGTTGAGGTAATGAGGGACCCCTGATTGAAATATGTTTTCCTTTTCCTTGTATTTTTTATTCTATTTTACTTTCGCTTTGTTTAAATGTTTTATTCAATTTTTTTATGGTTGGTGAGTCTCCTAGATTACCCTGGGGCGAGATACGCAGCCAATAAATTTAATATTTCTTTATTAAATTATTGGCCGCCCATCTTACCACAGTGTAATAATAATAATGTAGGACTCCCACAAGGACAGTAGGGAAGAAAATAGAGTAGCTGCGATCCGTTTTGAGGCTATACAATTCAGTTAACCTGCTTTCAGCCTCAGGCAAAAGCCTGCTCAGAAGATCGTAATGCAAACGCAGAGGCCCCCTGGACAGGTTGCCTTTGCCGCAGGTCAAAAAGCTTCCGGAAGCTCGCGCGTTTCCCGATTCTTCTGCAAAGCGTGTTTCTATAGCAACCCTAAACAGCCAATGAAAAGCGCTCCGTCCCTTTTGGAGGCCGTGTCTTTGAGTGACGGGGAAGTTGCGGTTCTTCGCCGAGCTCCTCTCTATGGTTGGCTTTCAGGACGAAGGCTTCCTGGGTCAAGGGTAGCCTTTGGCGCAGCGGGCAGGGATCTGCGAGTCCCGCTATCGCCGCGTTTCTGGTGGGCTAGAGGGGAAGTTCGGTCTCCAGGCCTAGTTATAGGTTGACCGATCCAGGTGAGAAATGTTTCCATCTTGGCTGTTGGGGGTGATCGAGAAGGTTCCGTTGTTCGGGAAGCCACTGCGTCTGTTGGTTGCCATGGATACAGACTACAGTACATTCTTCGCCTTTTCTCGGGCTCTTTATCTTTCGCTTTTACTTATTTCCTCAACTGTTGTGGCAGATGCGTTTGATAAATCCAGATAAATCATTTATGAACCAGAAGCTGGTAGTGGGTTTGAGGCCATGGTTAATAGAGGAGCTTGAAATTCCAGGGTGATGAACAAGCCACAGAATGTCCTACATTGCAGAATCGGAAATAGATTTTACAACTTTGTACTATCAAATAATTCTGTAACAATATTCATATGCTAAATTTTCAGTCCTATTGTGTGGAAAGCACTAGGTGCTGGAGAGGAAAGGATTCATACATTTGTGAGCTAGACTTCAATGACAACAGTTCTATTTTAGCTTTATTTTTTTAAAAAACAACCCTTTGTCCAGTTTCTAGTTGTATCATTAATTTTTGTATTGTTTAATATAGTTTTAGTCTGTAGATATCTCGTGATGATTTGCAGATCACAAATAATGCCCACATTCTACACCTCTTGAATTTCTAAACTGCCTTTAAAAGTAGTGTCAGATACTGTCCTCAATCCTCAGTATCAATACTGAAAACTGAAAACAAGTTCACTTTTTACCTAAGTATTTCAGCAAGGGCACCAATTTAGAAAGAACTCTTGCTGACTATTATCCCTTGGTCTACCCTGAGGATCACTTTAACTGTAACTGCCCCTAAGTCTGTTGATGCTGAACTCAATCAAAACTGTGATCAATGAGAAAATGTTCAGTGGCCTGTTTGAGATCAGGCAATGGTTGTTTGAGAGAGAGTTGATTATAATGGGGGTGGGGGGGGTCCTTGGTGCTCTTTGAACTGGGTTGTTTTCTTACAGAGATTTCATTACCCAAACTAGGTAACATCATCAGTACTGATAATATTACCTAGTTTAGCTAATGAAATCTTTGTAAGAAAACAATCCAACTCAGAGAGCACCAAGGACCCCACATTTTAATCCTGCGCTACAAATATTCTTTATTGATTATAATCTGTAAAGGTATATGTCTTGATACAACTTCTGTACTTTTATGTAGATCTTGGAAACTCTGGATAATAATGCAGAATTTTATAGTACCACACAGAGAACTCACCATGGAATGGAAAATAGTTAACCTTATAAGACAGTGCCAAGAAGAACTGTTATGCTACACCTTCTAACTTACATTGCACCAATTGTTGCTATCAAAACCTGCTGCAAGGTTCAGGGCTATCAACGTTGTATTCTGGGAGGCAGGGATCCTGCTGTGGACAGGCAATGACATCTTGGTGGTGATGGGAAAGGGAGATATGGTAGGAACTTGGGGCTGCCATTCTCAGAGAATACATCAGTATTTAGTGCCAGTGTCATATTACAGTTGCCCATTGCCCAGTGATCAAAGCCAAGGAGGCCCTGGTACTCAACTGTTGCTTCTCAGTGCCACATTCTCTGTAATAAAACTTCACTCGTCCATGATTTAATCAGGGATGAAAAGGCCTGCCTTGCATGTATTACCAAGATCTGGTTTGGAACAGAATTGGGGTGAGGGGTAACCCTCTCAGAAATGTTCTAGTAGAAAATCCCTCCAAAAGAAGTCTCTCTTTAAAGGTGAGGCTAGGATTCCATTATATTAAAGCAGAATTATTTTATTGAACAAAGCATAAATAGGGTGGAGGTTAAAGAACCTCTTTAAAGTGTAGATTGTCTCTTGGATTGGCTGTTTTCTACTTATAATATGTTACCCACATTATTGGTTATTATTATACTTTGACAAAATTACTGCTGTTGATTGGGTCGGTTAATGTGTATTTTAATATTTAGAGTGGGAAGATCAATGAGATAACTTTTTTCTACCTGCAAAACAGAAGCCTTTAGTTAAGTATATTTTTTATGCTTCATATATATTTTAAATATACGTATATACATCCAAAAACTAACTCACATTCTTGCAGTTAATACTTTCACTTATCTTGTTAGCA